TCTCAATTAATTTGTTCGCTCAGTTTGCCAGAGTTCCCGATGCATCATGCGAGGCCACAACAGCCACAAGCTCTTGAGTGGCTTCAATGCAATTCCAAGACATTCCCAGCATTCCCGACGCAGCGAAGACCTCATACGCAGCGAAGTCGGTCGATGCCTATTCTGAAAATCCATGAACAAGAGCCATTTTGGATTTGTAAGTGCCGCCATACTGAATGGGCCATCGTCGCTAACCTGAAGAATAAAGTCATGTCCTTACGAAGTCCTGTAACCCAACGAGCGTGCCTATATACTCTGGCATCTTAAACTACGAACTCGGCACCTTATGTAGCAGAGGCCATCGTAGAGTATAATAGTTTCATTCAACTACTTCAATAATAGAAATCATGGTTCATTTTATCATAAATCTGTTAATATGAAAAAAAAATTGATAAACATTAAATAAATTAACGAAAAGTCGATCGTCGCGGTGGGAATTGAATTATTGGAATACTAATCAAATCGGATTTTTTTACGTCGCAAAGGGAACTATTTTTTATGAAAATAAATCATATTATTAAAAAATATAATATAATACAAATTATCATTGGAATTTGTTCGCTTACATGTGTGTGTTGACGACATATGTAGGGTAATTTGAATTTTTTATTTTTCAAGTTTATGAAATTGTATAGTACAGTAAGTTATAATGAAATTAGCGAGGCAACATATCACTGATGATATCAGGTATTCCACATTTATGTCTTAATGCTCCATGTAGTTACGTAAAGATCGAACATAAATGATCAAATGATTCCACAATATCTTGCAATTGTTCAAGTAAACACGAGATCGGATTGCAGCAAGTTTGTGCACTGGATGAGGCTGGTCGGCTGAAAGCTCTGCCGGCAGCTCCGCTCAAAGCTCTCTGTTTTCACAAGAGTTTCCTGCGCTTGGCCCTGGCATCCTGTTATCATTTCCTGTTATCGACAGTGCCTTGTTTGCGATGGCCAACTTGTTTTCCCCGAAGCTGTTCCGATCGACTGCTTCCGACCATGGGAGTTATGTCTCTCACTCAGCCAACTCTACACATCAGGCTACAGTAAACCTAACTTTTTCAGCTCGCCAAACCCTCCCTTTCTCCGAACATTACAGTACTATAAATTCTGCCCTCCTGCAAACTTCACAGTTCTAAAAAAATTAGAGTCCTACAAGATCAGATCTTGCAAAGTCTGTTGAGTTCTTTAACCAATTCAAAAGTCTTCTTGCAAACTCGATATAGTCCCCTGAGTCGGGAAACTGCCCAATCCTGCTGGATCCCAAAGTGGTGGAGAAGAGTTAGCCGGCGTTGAACAAGGCAATATAACACCAATATTTTTAAAGAGTTATTAAAATTTTTTCGGTCCAAAAGTTTTGCTGCATAATTCAGATTTAATAGGCCAATTCTATTTGCACTCAAAAATATAGGCAGATGAAAGTTTGGGTAGTGATTGAAATGACACTTCAGAGAAGAGGGCACAGGGGCGTGTAAGAGCAGAGTGCAGAGTGCAGAGGCCAGAGGGCAGAGGGCAGAGGGCAGTATTGTGTAGAGGGCAAAAGGGCAGTTTCGGGCGTGTAATGGTCTGCCCTAACGACCTCTGATAAGCGGAATAGCGCCAACAAATGGAGTCCGTTCAACACTTTAATTATCACGCGTGATGTATGAGACCAAAAACAGAACATTTCCGAAAGCAATAACAGTACGGAAGTAGAGAGTATATGGAAGTTAAATAAAGATTCTGAGGAAGTTAATACTTGAACTATAATACTCAAAATGAAAGATAATAAATGACGATAAAATCACGGTGAAAAATATTCGAAAAGTTTTTTTCACTTGAGAAACTTTATTAAAGAAATAAAGAAACTGAATTAGTAGCTTCTTTGTCACTAATCATGATAAACGCTGGAAAAATTAGTAATAAATTAGGTACTGCAATAATCGAACCAAAGTTAGGTCCAATTATTGATTCTAAATCGCGTAATTGGAAGACAAATACAGTAGTACCTCGAGACTCGAAAAGAGAGCAGATCGGTACTCGACCATGATCCGTTCTGAGACGGTGATAAACAAATTTTCTCATAAGAAGTAATGGAAAGTGTTTTAATCTGTTCTTACCATTAAAAAATACCTAAAATATTATATGAGCGTGTATCTAAACAACCATGAAGACTTAAATGTGCACAAGTAGTACACGATAAAGAAAGATAAAGCATTATAAACAATTTTGTATAATTTAGGTACGTAATTTGTGAGAGCTTTAATTACTAATGTTGTCCCCTGCCAACATCTTTTCCTTATTGAAGATAAGAAGCAACTTCTTCATTTCTTCCATTATGTGAAGCCTTTGCTTACTATTTGCTATTCCCATTGCAACATCAGCTTTCTTTAACACTTCCTAATGCTTCATGATAGTGGAAATGGTTGACTTTGTCAGTTTGTACTGCGATGCGAGGTAGGCCACTCGTACACCACTTTCATATTTTGCTATAATTTTCTTTTCATTTCATGAGTGGCCTTCACTGTTTTCCTCTTTGTCTTACTCTTATCACTGTCTTTCCTTGCACCAATTATTAAGGGCTAGAGCAATACGAAAAAGTTTAAATCTGTTAAGAAATGCTCGAACAACTACGTACGCAGGCTGTCATTAACCCCAGCCTCTAATCAGGCAAGAAATAGTGGAAGAAAAGACTATCCTATGTGCAGGATACCTGATTACTAACTGATTAACCCGAGACTCTAATCAGGCAAGAAAGAGCAGAAGAAAAGACTATCCTATGTGCAGGATACCTGATTACTGCCTGATTAACCCGAGCCTTTGATCAGGAGGATCCGGCGCCGATTGCTCGGGATTGTGGGCGACGGCTAGAGCCTGATTGGCCAGCACGAAACCTTGATGTCAGCACTAAATTTTCTGACTGGAATTAATGAAAATTCTTACGAAAATGGTAAATATCTGTGTATTTACGTTTCTACAAGGAAACCTTACTGGAATAAAAGCTTATCGATGTTAGAGTAATGTATAAAAGAAAACGGGGAATATAATCGTATGAAGGGGTTGATAACCACGTAATATCTAAAAGAATAATTTAGTAAATTTATTTCTTATGAAAATGCACATCGATCGAGAAAAATATGTAATAATGCTGTAACAGAACGTTAGGGTAGTGGGCAGAGCCAGTTAGGTTCAGTGAGCCCATTGAGTTAGGCCTAGGCACAGTCAAAATTTGTTCTGATATAGCACAGCCCATAATATACCTTAAATGTGTTGGCATGTGATTCATGTCATATAGGCCTTTAATAAGTGCCATTACATTATAATGAAAGTTTCAGTTCGTTTATACGCATTACATAGTGTACATGTTTTTATCCTCAAGAAAGCTCTAATTCCGATTTCGGGACTAGGCTACATTCCGTTAACTACAATTTCTTTGCAAGTTCTCAGACGTAAGCTCTTAAAAAGATACATATATGTACTTTAAAGAGTTACGATCGTACCTACAAAAGTTGTACGTTGCGACGGCCAGCTGCAATTTAATTCATTAGCAAAAAATAGACATTATTAAACAATTATTGCATAACTTAACATGAGATTGGTCATTTACACAACAACGCAAAACCAAATGCATGTTTTGCCAGCATCCGCTTCCTTTGCAGTGTTCAAAATTTTTTAAATGAACCGTGAACCCATTAGTCATATCACGGTTCCAAACTCAGTCTTTAAAGCACGAATAAAACTTATCATTTGTAGTCAGGGTCTGGCGTGCTGCAGGTGAGAGAAAACCCTTCCGCTTTAAGGCGAGATGAGGGCGAGGGCAGAGGGGAAGAGGGGTTCAGAACCTCAGGTGAACGAGGAAAAAATTTGGTTGTATTCTATCGGTAACTAATTCTTTTCCGCTTTCATTTCGACCCAAGGAAAGTATGTTAAATTAATAAATAGCAACTAGATAATGGATAGGATTTGCATAATGGAAAAGTTGCAATGATGCGATATATACCCGATGTAAATCGGACTGGGATTTACGTTTTTCAAGATGATGGCTCCAGCAGTGAAGCTAGTGATTACCTGTTATCATTTTTTATTAATAATTATTGGAAGCATTCCCAACGACAAAGTTGGAAGCATTCCCAACAACAAAGTAATACCTTTATTACGATAGCGTCTCGATTCATTCAGCGTCATGCCTGAACACTTTAAACGGCACGCCAAAAGAATTGCAAACGCCTGTATTATTTCAAACGTCCTCTGCATACCTTGTACAGTTATACGAGGGATAACTATGGCAATGTTGTTTCGCTTGCATTTGGTACTTCGGGCAAAAACTTAAAAATTTTCAACTTTCAGACATGAGTTGAGAGAAAGGCAGCAAATAACATGAGTAAAAAAACAATAAAAAATATTTAATTTCTGGGTTTCATTCATTTTCACTTTATGAATAACAGCAAAACCTGATGTAATTATCATCATTTTCCGTGTAGTTAATCCAAACTTATTTGTAAGTTGGTAAAGAATAGAATTAATCGAAGCCGAAAATAATCGAATTTTTCATATACAAATAATTCAATGTTCAATCCTTTCCAAACATAAAAAATTTGTGGCGCCCTAATTGTTTGCATTAATTTGCAAGAATGCTTTTGCAACTAAACTGTAACTTTCATCTTACTATTATTAACAAAGAAACTATCATTAACTTCGACGTAGAAATCGCAAAACATCCACTCATCATTGTGTGTAAAATGATGGCATCCGATTAATTCCTGGTGACTGCAGAAAGAGAAGCACGGTTAATACTGCTAATTACGTTGATTATTCCATGCAACGTACATCTAAAAAAATTAACCTTTCCCCTGTTCTTCCCCCGTTAAAATAATTGAAATAAGCTTCACCCTGTTACTTCCTGATTAAAAGAATAGAATTAACCTCTACCCGTTATTTCCCTGTTAAAGGAAAATAATTAACTTTTTCATCCGTTATTTCCCCCAGACGAGCGGGCACGGAGTCACTGCAACAAGACGGTTGAGATCTACGAGGACGTGACGTCACCCGACCTGGACCGGGAGAACCGCTACAAGCCCCTGCGCTGCTACTACCGCTTCAGGGTCACCAAGCCGCAGCTCAAGGATGACTGGGTCATCGTCGTCAGGTTCAAGAGCTTCAAAGTCGGCAACGTCGTCAACGCCACCCACTGTGATAACGGATACCTCAAGGTGGGACATATGGGTGTTAAGGTTTTGAATACTATAATGTTAAGCTATAAACTCATCAACGCTTCGCACAGTGATAACGGATACCTCAAGGTAGGTCAAATAGGGAGTTAGTGTAATGAATACTATAAGGTTACGCTATAAACTAATCAACGCTTCGCACTGTGATAACGGATACCTCAAGGTGGGACAAATGGGGTGTTAATGTTATGAATACTATGATATAAGGTTACGCTATGAACTCATGAACTATTCGCACTGTGGTAACGGATACCTCAAGGTAGGTCAAATGGGATATTAATTAAACTAAATATTATCAAGTTACATGACACTCCATCATCAACGCCGCGCACTGTAACGCATGCCTCAGGGTACATATGTTTAATTTATTAGGTGGTATAAATAAATATCTGAACATTGATGTGAGTAATGCCATCAAGGTCACTCACTTTGATAGCAACTACTTCTAGGTTGTCGTTGTGATGCTAAGATATTCCATTACGTTGGTTTGACGTAAAAATGAAGATTGAGGGGACCGAGGATTGCTTGCTCGGCTGTAGGGTTAAATTACTGTAGTATGATCGAGATAAAGATATGCTTGAAATAAAGATAATGGTGTACTTAGTACAAAATAGAATTGAAAGTAATTAAGGGGAAATATGGTGAATGCAAATAATATCGATAAAGAGGAAGTGTGTATGCAATGAAGAGTAATAATTTCCGTGGTAAGGAGAAGGAATGCCCGCGGCAAACATGGACGTGAGACGTGGCGCGAACATCAAACTCACGGTTTGCATCTCTGTCATATAGACTCTACGCTTGAAAATTTGCCCGTTATGCCTACGAAGTATACGAAGATTCCCTATAATCGTTTCTAAACACGTTTTCTAGTATTTCAGTATATCGCAACAGTTCTTGCATAACCATCTCATATATACTGCATTACAGTATTATTGTTCTCACCTTGCTAGACAAACACACAAGTTTCATTCTTCGTTTCTTTTTCATCTCGTAGCGAGCAGATCGTTCTGCTTCACCCTTTACTTCCACTACTCCTTCTATTTCACAATTTCCCCATCTATTTCCACGTATTCTCTTCTATTTCATAAAATCTCTATTCACTTCCACTTTATATTCCACTTTTCAGTCTCTATCCACTTTCACTGCTTCCATTTCTCCTCTCTCTATATCCACTACTTATTCTTTTATTTCCACTAATTCTCCCTCTTTTCTTACCCCATTTCCCCCCTCACATTCCCCTCGCTTCCCCTCACTTCCCCGCAGTTGTGTCCTGTACTTGGTCCCGCTGTCCCGTGCAGTTGCGGCTCTGTCCCGGCCAGCGTCCCCAACTTGTGGGACTTGCTGCCCAATTTAAAGTTGCGACGCGCAATAAAACTTGTTACAGCTGCAGCGATCACCACAGCTGCAGCGATCACCACAGCTGCAGCGATCACCACAGCTGCAGCCATCACCACAGCTGCAGCCATCACCACAGCTGCAGCGATCACCACAGCTGCAGCGATCACCACAGCTGCAGCGATCACCACAGCTGCAGCGATCACCACAGCTGCAGCGATCACCACAGCTGCTGCGATCACCACAGCTGCTGCGATCAGCACAGCTGTCGTGTTCTATTGTGAAGATGAGGCGTTAAAGTGTGATGATAATTCGTTATATTGTGATGATAAAGAGGAAAAAAAATTTATTTTTCGAAAGCCATTCCGACAACAAATCTCATACTAGAGAAAATGGTGCTGTATGGTGCACCGTGTGATGACACCACCACAATATATGCCATGGCTGTCGTATGCAGCGTGAACTTTGAGTGGTGAGGCTCACCATCACTTACGACGCTTGCACCATCACCACCACAGCCTGCGCCATCCAATTAAAGGAGAACACGCGACAGCTGCACAGCTGTACACGCGCGGCAGCTGTGCAGCTGTACACGCGCGGCAGCTGTGCAGCTGTACACGCGCGGCAGCTGTGCAGCTGTACAGCTGTACACGCGCGGCAGCTGTGCAGCTGTACACGCGCGGCAGCTGAGCAGCTGTACACGCGCGGCAGCTGTGCAGCTGTACACGCGCGGCTGCTGTGCAGCTGTACACGCGCAGCAGCTGTGCAGCTGTACACACGCGGTTGCTGTGCAGCTGTACACGCGCGGCAGCTGTGCAGCTGTACACGCGCGGCTGCTGTGCAGCTGTACACATGCGGCAGCTGTGCAGCTGTACACGCACGGCAGCTGTGCAGCTGTACACACGCGGCAGCTGTGCAGCTGTGCAATGGAGGGCCACATTCCCAGGTCTTAAACTCCGGCCTGGAATGTTCATTACTGCAGTGGCTCCATGCAAGTTTTTTCCTATCAACATTCCACGCTTGAGCTTCCTGAATCCTTTGATTTTCTTGAGCCTTCTGAACTCCTTGAGCCTCTTTAACCCCTCAGCCCCTTGTGCCATATGAGCCGTAACAATCCCCTGAACCCCCTAAGGAGCCTGAGCCTCCTCAACCCTCATTCATTTCAAGGGAAGCTCTTAAGCTTCTCCTTTTCCTAATTATTGGGGATCTCACTAAAGTTACACTTCTCATGCCCTTTTGGGGATTTCATTACATTCCTAGTTACTCCCCATCAACGCATATGTCTTCAATAGCACTCTAATCCCTCTCAACTACACGCCAGTACTTGCACTCTAATCCCTCTCAACTCAACAACTTTTTCACCCTATTTTACCTCTTCTCCCTGCCTTAAAAATAGAGCGCGTATAAATGAGACACTTTCCATTTAAAGTGCTCAGTTTAGACGGGCCCTCTAATTTATTTGAGTGCCTGCTTCAGAAAACGACTCCTAATGAGATCGCTGGAGGAGAGGCCAGCTGCACTAAGTTGTTTACTGCGATGCTAATTAAGGCTCTTGCAAGTTCTCAATGACTTCGCGTGTAACTTAAGTACTCCTGATGAATGTCAGACTGAATGTTTATGAAAAGTTTACTAAATTAGGGAATATTGCGTGTAGTCTTTTAGTGTACGGGAGTTCAAACATGGTAACAAAAGTAGTTAGTATTTAACCAACCCATATTTGATGGAGGACAATTAGTTTCATAACTTTATTTTATAATTGTTATTTTGATAAAATTTTGTTTGTTTATAAAACAATGCACAAGGGGACAAACACTTTAGGGTGCGAGCGTTTTCAGTTTAAGCTCAGTGGAACTTCATCATTATTTCTAAACTGCATGAAAATATTTATGGATTGATGTGTAAAGGAAAAATTCAATTGTGCCTACATTTAACACTGGTATTATGTACTTAAAAAAACATTCTCTGACGTAATTTTTAGAGTAAACTCTTCGTGTTTCAGGCACGGCGGCCACACGCCTGTAATGCGCCCTTAATCGCCTCTAATGTACTAAACAAGAGGGCGAACCGCACTCAAATTCTGATCAGATATTAAGTAGTTCAATAATGAAATAAATGAGGATTGAATGAGAGGAAAAGAGTAGATAAAGTCTAATATATAGAATAGAAAAATCATTTATGAAACATAGAGTAGACGGGAGATGATAGAAGAAAGAGGGCAAAGAACGAGGGGAAGAAGCGAACACAGATGGTGAAAATTGAGAAAAAAAGAATGCTTGGGAAGAGGAAAGAAGAGACCAAGAGAAGATAAAGTGCAGGAAGAAGGGACAAATCTGATGAAAGAAAAGAATGTATATTAAAGGAAGGAGAATTGTATATACCTTAAAGAAATAGATTCGCAGGGAATCTAAGATTGAATGATCAAGAAGGTCAGCGAAGAGATGGGAAGAAAACCGAATATTTATTCGACTTATTATTTGGTGCCAATGGAATAAAAATATAGGAATTTCCGACAGGCTGTGGACAGTAGAGGACAACCGAGGGCAACAGCGGCGATGTGAGGGCTGCGCTGACAAATGAGGGGCTGCCCTCGGACCGGCGCTGCGGTGTTGCCTTCGGGCGGGTGGTAAAGATATTGCAGTGTTGCCATCGGGCGCTGTTAAGATATTGCGGTGTTACCATCGGACGTGCAATAAAGATATTGCAGTGTTGCCATCGGGTGCTGTTAAGATATTGCGGTGTTACCATCGGACGTGCAATAAAGATACTGCGGTGTTGCCATCAGGTGCGCTAAAGATATTGCGGTGTTGCCATCGGGTGCGGTTAAAATATTGCGGTGTTACCATCGGGCGTGCAATAATAGATATTGCGATGTTGCCAGCTAATACGCGGCAAAGACGTGTCGGTGTTGCCATCAGGTGCGCTGAAGATATTTCGGTGTTGCCATCGGGTGCTGTTAAGATATTGCGGTGTTGCCAGCGAGCGCGCGGTGAAAATGGTGCGGTTTTGCGAACGGTCGCGTCGTGAAGATTTCAAGGAAGAGAACAGAAGGGGTCGTGAAGAAGGCAAATGTGAATGTATAGGGAGAGAAGGTATATCAAACTTAGTAAATGTTTTCATCCTGCCAGCTTTCCAAGAGATCACGCTCCCAAGACTAATATTTCTTGAAGTAAGCTGCAATTCAGATAGTACACACGGAGAAAAAAGTCGGAAAGCATATCCAAGGACGCCAAATTCAGAAGAAGATGAGAAATAAGCGTCAACAATCCAAAATATTCAATACCAAGTCCCTCGGGAAATCCGGTCTCCGTTTCTAACAAACTTCATAATCGCTTTCGGTATAACCGATATGTTATTTTAATGATAAATTCCTCACAAGGTATGAGAAAAATTTAAGTAAGAATGATTGACAATGTTAGGATAAAGCATAATTGGAGGTTATAGATGGAAGTGAAGAAAGAATCTTGGTCGAATGAAAGGGATGTAAGATGGATCGAATTAATAGAGAAAACAAATTTAGAGGGCAGTGGATTATATGAACGAGAAATAGAAGGAAATTGATAGAGAGAGATGAGATGACTATGGGTAAAATGAGATAGAGTGTGGAGATGTGGCCTGAAAGATAGGGAAGTGCTGGGTAGAGAAGATTAATGATGGTGAAAATAAGGAAAAAAGATATAACTCAGTACTCACTGCAGTGAGTGACAGAGAGCGCATTCTCTCGTCTGTGAAAGCGTGAAGTCACGGACGGACAGACGGACAGACAGACGTACATGCCGAGCACAATAGCGCCTTATTTTTTCCATAAATGAGAAAATGCGCTAAAAAGAATTGAAATAATGTAAAGACGAGGAGTTTTGTTTTGTTAGTGGCAATGATGAATATATTACAAAAGCATTGACAGATGACCACAGAAGTATGCACAGATGATGAATGGGCGACTCTTATATTAGTTGTTAAGTTCTTTCTTCATTTCTCTTATTCACTTACTCTCTTGCATCTAAAGTACTTTTCGTAATTTTCCTCATCCTTTAAGCGCGTTCGCAGATATTTCTCTCCCATTTTTATCAGTGCTCTTATATCCGTAAGAAAGTATAACACTGTGAATATTTTTATTTTATAGCAATGACTGCAGAAGCGAAAAGAGCCCTCAAGTCACAAAAAATGTCGGGCACAAAAAATGTATTTTACTGAATACATTACTCACAGCACTCCAGCAATAGCTAATGTTTCCCGCCTAAATAGGATTGAAAAAAAAATGAAAAATGAGCATGGCTATATAAACCTCTGATATTATCATGACATTACATTTTATCATTTATTATGTCTACAAAAACTTCTCATATTACAATTGCATTTCAACCTACTCCTAAGTAGATATGCATAAACCTCTTATATTATCATTCCATTCAAACTTACTCCTAACAGGACCTATGAAAACTTCATAACTCTTCATCGCATTCCAAGTTCCAACCTGCTCCTGAATAGGCCTGTAAAAATCTCTCAAATTATAATTTTCACCAAGGTACGGAGGAAGGTCTACAAGTCGTACAGTTTATGGTAAAAAAAGCTCCCCGTCATCAAACTTCGACCTCTTTTTTTCTTGAGAGTAACTTGAGCCTCTCCAGATTTTCAAGAATATTTTTAGCGTTTTTCTGAATGCAGAGACGAATCTGTTTCTTTATCATTGGCCGACGAGAAGATTTAGAAGAACTAGAACGGACGTAGAAAAATATTTGGAGGGTAAGAACACCACAAGAAAGTTGACATGGGCCAGTTGGGCTTTAAATAAAAATAGAATAATGAGAAAAACAAGAGAACATTTGGAGAACTAAGAGACGTGCAAAAGTTAAAATTTCATATAAATATTTGGACAGATATAAATTTGAACCGAGAAGACTCACTGAGTGTCGTAAGCTTTCTCGATTAAGACTGAAGTAATAAAATTTGCTATTCTGTAATATGACACTGTTATGTTATGTTATGTTACACAACCCAGTGGAGTGTTACAAACCCTAACCTAACCTATATTTTAATTTTCGGGTAACGGAGTTGTCCAGATTTCGAAGCGAATTACTGCGATATTTTAAAACCAATAGAATATTTTGTGAAACATTGTGCTCTTTTCTAAATAGAAACTTTTAGGGCACGAAGTAGACTTGATCTCTCTCCGTCTTCGAACAATCCTCGAAGCGAGCGGTAAAAAATATAACTCGGTATTCACTGCAGTGAGTGACAAAGAGCGCATTTTCTCGTCGACGAAAACGTGAAGTCACGGACGGACAGACAGACGGACAGACAGACGGACGGACATGACGAGCACAATAGCGCCTTTTTTTCCATAAAAGAGAAAATGAACTAAAAATTTGTATTCATATAGGCTCAGAACAAGCGTCACAGAGAGCAAGCAACCATAAGGATTCTTATTCATTTAAAATTGATGTAATAAATAATTTTTCATTCATTTTTCATTATTTCCTTTTTAATATTCGTGCAATGATTTGAGAGGTTGGCCGCTGGCGTGAGAAGGAGCAGCAGCATCTGGCTCCGCTCCAGCGCTCAGATGGAAACTTCTCGTGATTGCTGCTTAAAACGGAGAGTTGGCGATTGATGAAGGCTTCTGCGTGATTGTCGGAGCAGGGATAGAAGTGATGATGATGAGTTGGTGGTGGTTGCAGGTGGTGATGAGGTGATGATATCGATGATTACAGCCGACGGTGATCAGCTGTAAAGGTTCTGGTTGTAAGAAGTATTGAATTAGATGATCGAGATGATGAACAGGCCGATAATGATTAAGGAGCCGACAATTATTTGTAAATTTTGGGGGACACATTTCATCATTGAAAAAGTAAATAAATACTTAGGAACTTGATACTGAAGTTACGATGATATGGGTTAAACTAATACAAATCATGTTAATCAATAATGAGTTACGTATGCCTAGGATTTATATTTTAATGTACTTGTATAATTCAAAATTGTTTTTATGAAAATTTTTCTATAACGGTTTTCCAATAAAATAGTTTCTTACATACCTACTGTGCTACTGAATGCAAGCACAAACCTTATCGATATGTCGTAGTGTGTAAGTTTCATTTATAAAAATTTCATCTTTTTCCTAATCATCATTCAGACTTTGTTGATATCAGTTTTGTCTTGCTTATTAAAAAATTTTATTTAATTATACTATCTGTACACATGACGAAATTTTTTTAAAGGTGATAATTTTCGTAACCTCAGTTATTTTCTTGCAGATTATGGACGGTAATTCCCAGACGGAGGTGTCGAACCGACGAACGCTGGGGATGTTCTGTGGAGAGATCGAGCAGACCCGTTCTTTCATTTCGGAGACTTCCTTCGTAAAAGTAATCTTCGATGTGCAGAATTTCACTGAAGAGACTTACTTCAGCTTCGACTCTCGTGTTGAACAGCAAAAAGAAGTGTTCGGGCGCTACGGTCCCAACCCTGTGCTATACCCGTTCCGCAGGGGGGAGATAGTCCCAGGAACATATTGCGAACGCATCTTTACCGACTGTAAATTGCAATCATGCTTCGTCCAATCTCCGGGGTATCCGAGCGTTTACCCACGTAACCTTCATTGCAAGTACTATCTCAACACCCGGCTTCCGTTCATCAAACTCTACATCGAAAATGAAGAGTTCAATATCGATGGGCAGAGGTGCGAAAACCCAATGATGTGCCCAATGAGACCGGTAGGTTCCGACTGTCCTTATGACTTCATTCGCATATACGATGGTAAGAACGAACAGGCTCCTCTGATCGGCACTTTTTGCGGCATGGGACGTTTCCCACACTCAATTATCGGATCAGGACAAGATATTATGGTTGAATTTATTTCATCTCCTGCCGGCCCTTTCCTTAACACTGGATTTCACTTCAACGTAGGCAACTGGCCTGGACATGTCGAATCAGCCGGATCTCGTAACGGTACATGTGATTGGGTTTTCAGCAGTGACACTGTGGAGCAAGGTCAAGAGTCTATTTTCCTTTCCCTTGCTCACTGGTACAAGGCTGGGACGAGCTGTTCATACCTAATACGAGGAAGACCTGGGGAAATTGTACGCATGTATTTCCCGTCATTTCGAGTGCGACCCATTGAGGCTCCGATACGACCCTACGATGGAGACTGTGGCGAAACTCTCATTATTTATGATTCTGATCGCCCAGACGACTCGCGTATCATGAAGATGTTCTGCGATACATTTTCGCGTCCATTAGAGAAGCACGACTTCATCTCCTCGGGAAGTTCGATGTTCGTCAAGTTCGACAGTCGCACAGGCAGTTACGACGGTTCCTCCCTCTATTATTGGGCTCAATACGACTTTTTCAACAACACCCATTATGGCCGACCGGTGGAAGATTCGGTCTGTGATGAACTTTTTGAGTCCTACGTTCGACCTGAAGGAAGGTTTGGCTCTCCTCTTAACACCCTCATCTACAAGACTGATGAAGACGTTCGTTGCCGCTACAGCTTCAAGGCTCCTCGATACCAGTACCGCAGGATTCTCGTTACTATTAACGATACCCACTTCAAGCACAATGAGGATGCCTGTCTGGATTGCCTGAACGACGCAGTTGACAAAATTATCATTCGAGATCCATTCCGGAACGGGACGGACGTTTGTATCTGCGACAGTATCGTCCATTCACAACGGCTACCAGCCATTGTAGTTTCTAACGGACCTTCCTTGGAGCTAAGTCTCCATGTTGACCGGCGGCACGCCACACAAAATTACTTCAAATCAAACATTCCAATCTTTGAAGGAACATATAAGTTTATTCATAGTCCCATCTGTGGGCCGACTGTGATGGCAGCGGCGTCAGAGGGTAGTATTGTCTACCCGAAATATGAACCTTATGTGTACGGAGGATATGGAGAAGACGTTCATTGTATGTGGGAGGTTAAAGTCAGCCCAGAACGGGATCTCTGGATATCTTTGGAAAGGATGGACTTTTCGTTGGAGGATTGCTCCCAGGAAGTTCTCGAGGTGGAGGTCAGTGGACGACGAGTGTTCACAGTTTGTGCAACAGCTCCTGAGGAAGCCAGGAGCTTAACAGTGAAATCCAAGGACATTCGCGATGGCTCCTTGATTGTACATTTCAAGTCACAAGCACCTGGGCACTCAAACTTCCAGCTCACATGGACAGAGCTAGTGGAGCTTCCACGTAACAGCGATGGTACTATCATGACTTCGAAACTTTCGGCCCCTGGAGAGTGTAAGTTTGTGTGTCCAGGACAAGCGGCTTGTATTCATGAAGATTTAGTGTGTAATGGTGTCCACAACTGCCCCGGCAGCAACAACACCAACATGCACGACGAGGCACCCGAAATTTGCTACGCCCGCACCTCGGCTCACTTGAACTATGTTGCGCTCGGTTTGGGTGCCGCTGGAGGAGCCGTCGTAGCAGTCGGGGTCATCATTTTGGTTTGTCGCAACTGCAGGAAGCGACCGGAAAATGATACTTCTTTTTAGCAATCGCCCCCGACAGCCAGCACAAGTGCAACAACTTTCTGAACTGAGTTTCCAGCTAGGCAGTCCATCGTCACGGCATGAACAACAAGTTCTTCAGAGAAAACATAGAACTGATGCACAAGATTCTCTCGAAGAGGCCACCGCATTCTAAATTATATGCCGGATAAGTTGATAGATTAAAATATTCTTTATTTAAGAAATGCGTTAAAGAAAGTACAAATTTTTTTTTATTTTTTCGGTGAAATTCTGGAAATTTAAAATGGATCGCTGTCGTTAGAGAAGTGGATTCCATGAACAACTTTACGGTAAACTTGACAGTAAACTAATCCGCACTTGAATGTTGATGATGTTGAAAAAATTATGAGAATTACACTCATTATCACTAGTAAAGAATTTATGTAAAGTAAACAACAAGCTTCTTCTTTAAATAGTGATTATTGTCACAGAAATTAATGAAGATTAAGATCAATTACTTTATTTTCTGGAATAAAACTGTAAGTAAGAACTTGAGAAGAGAGTAGCAAATAAACATGAAGGCTAAGGCTGACTGTCGAGGGTATGGATAGAAGATTATTATACTCGAATAATTATGACGTGAGTAGATGTAGACTTAAGATAGGGTAGTACATTTAAAATTATTCATTAAGTTCACTTGTTGTGGTGGTTAGAATGCACTAATTTTTTGTGTAATTTTGTGAAACGCAAGGAGACGATATAACAAAATCTTACCTTGCTATATATGTTACGTTGCTCGATGAAATATCTAGAACATTCAAAGAATGAAGAAACCTCGCAATTCGAAGAAATTTAAAAGCATAAGCATTTGCGGTTTAGAAATGATAATTATAAACTTATGAAGTTAGTTGACAGACGAAATGGATAGCGATATAAGCGAAGTGGACGGTGAGGCGAATAGAATAACATTATAATGGTTCTTTACGATGTAATTAATTGCGGCTCTAGGTAGACTGTTAACTCATCAATACATTTCATATACACAATAATATTGTAGCAACATATTTTAATTTTTCAAGAGTGCGAAAATGTGAGTTACCAGATTAATCTGGCAAATCAGACTGATGTATCGTAAGAGTGTCGGTGGAAATTGAAACTCTGTTCGTCATTCCGTGTAGAAAATAAAACTTGAAAATGAAGTTACGTAAGTGATATTAAATCAAAATGATTGCACGTTCACTAGGTATGAGAAAGCATAAACCACATTCAAATTAGATAAACATGAACAAAACAGTGCAACCAAAGATCTCTTACTATTTATCCATATATAGTTTGTGACAACTCCTGTTCAGCTCACACAAATCTATTCGAAAAAATTCGTTCACGATTGGATTAGCAGCAAATATTCTTATCATGGATGAGCAAAAATTTGTGTTTTACACTTAAGATAATAAAAAATGTTACATACGATATGCTCCTGATAGCATTTTTTAGGCCGATTTAAATAATAATAGGTGAAATCTCATGCATTCGCGTGAGCGCGCATATTCAAGAGTACTGACTGCAAGTGTTAAAGATTTTACAATGATATTTTCAATCAAATTTATTCTATTACTTAACATGGTGAAAAAGATTTTCTGCGACTCATACAAACGTACTCTGTATATAATATATAGCGTTACAGATGAATTCTGATTGCAATAGATGATGAATTGTATGATCTTAGTCGGACAGTGTAGTTTTAATGTATGTATTATTTTAGATGTCTAGTTATAGAGTTCCCTCAACAACAAAACTTTATTCGATGTTTTAAGAAATTTTTACCAATTGAGATTATTTATATTATAAGCTTCCGATATTACAAGGTTCGTTCGAATATTGAATATTGTTCTAACTCATTGACTCGACGCCTAAGCTACACAATAACATATTGTATATATTAATTGATACCTCACTTATTACATTCACAAATTTTCAGTTCCATTTCCATTTTCACGCACCTGCAAAGATATGAAAATTACGAACAAACGATCGCCAGCCCTAAGATTAAAACAAATATATATTGTTCAGATACTGACGAGCATTTATTGCTAACAAAATATCAAATCTCATTTCCTAATATCATTTTCTTACACTAACAATGAATTCGCAGAATGGAAGGCTGATATGATATTGTTATTAAAATAAGTTATTGTTCAACAGTGCACCTCATCTCCGAGACTCCATCAGTTTTTCTGGAAGAGTTAGCGAGAAACGAGTCGCTCCTTTAGCATTATTTATGTTAAATAATTGATAATAAATTAATGAATAGGTAATAAAATAACTATAAAATAACTTATAATGAAGATTCCAGCTGCCGGTATTAATACAAAAATTGTCAACTGTGCACAACTGCAATAAAAAAAATCAGATCCGCAGACACACACACTATCAACACAAATCGGACGATGAAAACTTATATGACAAATTAAAATTTTAAATATACTGATTTAATTTAGCATTGGTTAGGGCTATCATAATTCTGAGATTTTATAGCTTAATTTCAATCCAAAAATTATGGTATTAATTTTTCAAGTCGTAGCGACGCAGCATAAAACATTGTACATATTCCAACATGTTTTGTTAGTATATTCGATGAATTTGTTGAGTCATATTTGATATTTTGCCCGAGCACGCGCCGGTATTCAGCACAAACCTGAGCATCAAAATTTCAAGTTATAATTATTTAATGAAAATATGTACATAGTTTTTTGAATCGCGTTCATCGTATTCCTAAAGTTTATCTGTACTTTAAAGATGTTTTTAAAATAATTAAATTATAATGTTGTGCCCATAATATGGATCCAACTCACATGAACCAAATTCCAAATGTTATAAAAATGCATGGTAATTATATCATTTGTTTACTTAAATTGCAAGTTAATAGAGAATTTAAAAACACACAAAATTTCCAATAAATGCACCATGTCTTCATTTAAAACAAGTATTAGATATTTTTATCAGTTAATTAGTGATGGCGATTTCACTGGGCGTTTCCTTTGCTTAAATGCTTATATATTCATTGTTGACTTGCGAATTAAATAAAGTATGACACAATTATCTAGAAAATGAACTTCTATGAGCGCTATAGCATTTGCAGTAGTGAATATTTTGCTAGTAAATTTGGTTAAAATTATTCTCGGTATTTGATACAAAGTACGATACAAGAATAATATTAATTTCACGACCTACATATACTCGTGGGTAAACAAATTGATCCTCACTAAAGGTGATGTATAATATGAAAATATTTAAGGAAGCTACATTGTATGTTTGAGAGTTGCTATAGTGATAGTTTATGCGTTGTTTATGGATATCCCTTCCTTAAATTCCCTGACACTTGACGATGAAACAATGCAAACTTATTTAGCGCTAAAAGTTTTTGTTGCTCTACATTAAATTTTAACAATATATCCATTATTCCGTTATCATTCAAATATGTAATAATATAATGTTTGTCAAATCGATTTCTAGAAATTAATGTAAATTTATAGATTTATAAAATGTATTCACAATGATTATCTACGTTTAAATGCTTGGAATTTGAAATATCGCTTGCTTGTTTGTTGTAATATTGCGGCCAAGTCTTGCTTTCGTACTAATAAGATGTAAATAGTTGATTATAATGAGTCTAAAAGATATTTGTTGTTCCCAATAAGCTAATTAGATAAATGTACATACCTTCGTCCCTAAGGCTTTGGGCTAACATTACCACTGCACCTTCTGTTTGAAGGAGTCATTGTAACAGTTGATTCCTGTTTAAGGATGTCATTGTAACAGTGTTGATTCCTGTTTAAGGTTGTCATTGTAACGGTATTAATAGTGCAGCTAAACCAGTACGTAGCTCTTCATCTCACATACTTAAGCTGCTGCGCCAATTTGCAGCCACAGATTAACTATACAAAATTTGTATTTTTAGATTATTCTGAACATGTGAGCGAGCTAATACACGAGACAAATATTCAAAATAAATTATTACACCCGTTGAATCAACCTAACAAAGTTAATGGAATCCGAAACAAATTGTCTGTCTTACAAGTGGACAAGTGGCACAGGGACAGAAGGTTTCAGTTTTAGTGAATATCGTCAGCTGCCATTGATAGCAAATTATCATTTGAAGAACTGAACTCAATGTTAGAGGCATCTAAATATAATAATTTATGCGTAAAACATTTAACAATGCTTATATTTTTATGCCAATAATTGTATTACATCGGCAAGAGAAAATATTTTATTATAAATTTCTTTGAAATTTAAGAAAATTCTATTTGCTGCAACATTTTCTCAATTTCAAATAGTGCAGGTTAAGCGGCATTTGTGTTCATTAAATGGATTCATAAGTTTGGCGTTGAATGTTGACTTGATGATTTTTGTGTTGTCAAGTGGCCGTTGTGGTATCAAGATTCTCTGTGTTTCAACCCGAATGTATAATTGCCGTCTTAAGTGTTAATATTCATTGTATAATTAATGTCTGGTGTATTAGGATTCATTGTGTAAGCCGTCGACTGCAGGCACTGCGCCTAAGTTGCATTAGGAAATCGAAGACTTTAGAAATAAAAGATAATTTTAAAACATCTCTTTCATCCAATGCTTCGAATAGACTTGCCTTCCGTTTCAGCCATGTCGTCATTCAGGAATTATTAAACAAAAATGTATGGTAATATGATGCAGTGTGATGCTATTTGTAGTGTAATACTGTGTACAGTGGGAGGCTGCTTGCAATAGTGTGATTTATTTATATTTATCGATTCATTTGACTCATTATAGTCTAACCGTAAATGCGTCGTATTTCCAATGAGGAACATTGAGTTACGCAGGAGCATCTTTCACTCCATATAGTATCTTAGTAATCAAAATCATTCCTTACACTGTCTCAGGAATCTGATTCATTCTATACACGACTCTGTAGGAGGCTCAGTTCGGGACACTGACTAAACTTCACAGTCTAATATATCGACTCATAACACGCACACTCATTTTGCGTAGTCGATGATTCCACCATACCTCCGTAGGTGTAGCCTCAGTATAGCTCAGTGTAGCCCAACCAACGGCATGTAGCGCCCATACCTCTCATACAACTCATAAGCTATGCTGTCTTTTATTATCCTTGCTGTTCAATGCGTCGAATATTGGTACCTGATATTTAAGACACGAAGCTCATGTGGATCGCCACGAACTCGTATTTTCAGCAATGATTGTATGCAACTGATTAGATTGAAAAG